CCAGTCCACTTCCCTCCGTTGCTCACTCTCCCTCATCTCACTCACTTTAACTGGGTGGGGCAGAGGCTTGGAGTGTGGGAGAGGGTGAAGGCTCCAGATGGGGGTGCAGGCTCTAGGATGGCGATGGGGATGAGGGGTTTGGGGAGCAGGAGGGGCTCCAGGTGGAGCTAAGGTGTTGGGAGTGTGGGAGCAGGCTCAGGGCTGGGGAAGGGGGCTGGAGTGCAGGAAGGGTATGGGGTGTGGGTCCCCAATGCAGAGCCTGCATCCCAAGCCAGAGTCCTCACTCCCCCCGCACCCCAACCCTCTGCCTCAGCCCAGAGCCCCCTCCCATACCCTGAACCCCTCATTTCTTGTCCCACTCCAGAACCTGCACCCCCAGCCCAGAGCCCTTAACCCCCTCCCACACCCCAACCCCCGCCTCAGTCCAGAGCTCCCTCAGCTCCACCCCTCAGCCAAAGCCCCCTCCTGCTCCCCAAATTCCTTATCCATGGCCCCACCCCAGAGCCCACACCCTTAGCTGGAGCCCTCACACCATCTTGCATCCCAATCCACTGCCTCAGTCCAGAGCCCCCTCCTGCACACTGAACCTCTCATTTATGTCCCCACCCTGGAGCCCTCACCCCCAGATGGAGCCCTCACCCACTCCCACACCGTAACCCCCTGAGCCAGCCTGGTGAAAATGAGCGAGTGAGTGAGGGTGGGGAGAGTGAACGACAGAGGGAGGGGGATGGAGTTAGTGGGGATGGGGCCTTGGGGAAGGGGCAGGGCTTCAGAGGAGGGGTGGGCAGAGGGCAGGGCAAGGGTGTTCTGTTTTGTGCAAGTAGAAAGTTGGCAACCCTAGTGTACATGCTCCCCCTATTTAATTCTACTGTAACTTGCTGAAGCAGATAAAAGGCTACAGATTGCAGTCTGCTTGTTAGTGGCTGTGTCTACAAAAGATACAATATCGCAAATGGCAAACATTTGATAATGGGTTATTAAACTGCCATCCCCTGGGCTTTGGATTTCTAAACAGCCTTTCAAGCAGAGCAGGAAGGGATTTGTCATTTAGACTTCTTAGAGGTCCGGGTTTGAAAGGATTTGAATTAACACTGGGAAAGAATCCAGCTTAAATTTCTTTCTAAGTAAATTTAACCCCCTCATAAAATGTTAGGAGACTAAATGGTGGGAAAACCTTCTGCTGTTTTGGGTTGCAAATCATACCACAGGGAAGACGGGGGAGGGTTTGTTTGTACTACAGAGTGGAGGGAAGCATCATGGTGAATAACAAGTGGTGATGGGAAGGGATGGTGAAAAATCTTGTCATTCTTCTCCCAGGGTGTAGCTACACTGCAGCTGTAATAACCAGGATAAGTGTAAGGATGCAGGGATGAGAACCTAGGCCTGCAGATCCTGGGACAGATTATAGTCCCACATCACCACCAGGAGCCCATGCAAAGCCACAGCCTGTACTCCTGGGAGAATTCTGCACTACTGCACACAGGCATAATTAATAAGCACCACAGATTTTAATGTGCAACCCCCCCCCCAAACTTCTGCTGAAATGTTGCAGTTCTCCCTTTTGCCCAACAGATGGTGCTATGGCACAAGAACAGCAGTAGCTCCAGGAGGAAAATAACATCTATAGTTCTGCCTTTTTCCCACAAGAGGGCACTGTGGCAATAGACCAAAGCTGCAGCACCTGTCAGGCCAGGTCAGGCGACAGGGGCTATGGGGAGACAGATAGCGTGAGGTACTGGGGGTGGGGGGAGTCAGACAGCATCTCATAAGGGCTAGTCCGGGAGGACAGACTGGGGCAGGGGCTGAATGGGAGTGGAGGCACAGAGCAACAGGTGGGAGAGAGGTGCCGGGCACATGGTGAGGGGGGATGGGGTGCAGAGCTATATATGGACAGGGTGGGGCTGGGTGGGGGCACAGAGACACATGGGCATGGGGGAGCGGGGAGAGAGCCACATAGGGGTAGGGGGTGCAGGGCCACATGGGGATGAGGGGAGTGGGTGTGTGAGTGGGGCTGGAGGGACACATGTGGACAGGTGGTGCAAGGACACATGGGGGTGCAGGAACACAATGGGACAGGGGAAGATGTGCCTGACTGAATGGGAGAGGCTAGGGGTCAGCCAGGGTCTGCATGGGGGAAGCTCCCTAACAGGCCTTTCCTATCCCCCTCCAAAGCCCTGTTCCATACTTTTCCCACCCATACCCAACAACCTTCCAAGTTCACACCCAGGCTCCTTCCCAGCAATTTACTTCCCTTTCCCTCAGCTCCTCCGTTACCCCGGACTCCCCCAAGCCTTTTCACTGCTTCTGAGGAGTGCGGGAAATACGGTTCTGTATTGTAGTTTAAATGAATTATTATTCAGAGTTCTGTATTAATATGCCTAGTAAGGAATCTATTGGTCAAAAAACATTTTCTGAATCTTTTTTGTTTTCTGTATTGTTACAGACATACTTACTGACAGGTATTTTGAAATAAATGACCAATATAATTGAAAATGGTGACATTATATTATGTTATTTTGACAAATAAAATATGCTGAATTTTGCAGAATTTTAAAATATTGTGTGCAGAATTTTATTTTATTTTATTTTGTTGCAGAATTTTTAATTTTTTGGCACAGAATTCACCCAGGAGTAAGCCAGGGAGCATGGTGGATTGTAGATCCAGAGTGACAGTACCCTGTGGCCCTTTCATTGGCCAAGAGCCCTATTTAACCCTGGAGGGTGCCCCAGGAAGCTGACTGGACAACCATGTAGACATTGGGCCTGCTTTGACTCCAGACCTCACCTTGTTGCCTCCTCTCCATCCTCTGATCTCAGCCTGACCCTGACCCTTACCTCCTGACTGCAGCCTGGGGCTATCTCTGGTCTCTGACCTTGGCCTGACTTCAATCCCGACTCTTATTTATTGAACCTGGCTCTGAAAATTCCTCTGACCACTGTCCCTGCCATGTGGGGATCCCAGTCCAGCTGTAACTGCTTGGTCACACTACCTGTGCCGTGGTCTCTTACATTATGTAAATATACATGTGCTACCTCTGATTGAGCTAACATACTAAAAATAGCAATGTGGCCATAGCCTGGCAGAGACTAACTGCCTGAGGATGTACCGAGGATTATGCTTTCTCTGCCCCAATGTGTATTTAATTATTCATACAAAGTGGACCAAGCTTCATCAGGAGAGACTCTCACATCAGAATACCCCATAGTTAGGGCTATGATTTTGTCATGGACAAAAAACATAGCCCTATGTAGTCCAGAGACCTCTGTGAGTTGAACCCTTGGTGCCTGGGAGTTGCAGGATCCCCCCGCCGCCTGTAGAGGCTGGGAACTGCGAGGTCCTTGGGAGCTCCCCAGGTGCCCCGCAGCTTGTAGCCACCGTGGGTGGCGGGGGAACCCCGGGAGCTCCGAGCCAGGGCCCCCTGGTGTGGTGTGGGGACCCTTCAGCTCCCCATTTTGTCATGCATATTTTTAGTAAAAGTCAGGGATAGGTCATAGGCTTCTGTGAATTTTTCTTTATTGCACGTGACCTGTCCATGACTTTTACTAAAAATATGAGTGCAAAATCTTACCCTTACCCATAGTTCAGAGGCTTGGGCACACCCCTGAGAGGTGGGAAGCCTAAGTTACAATCCCTTCCCCTTACCAGGCAGAGGGGGGAATTGAACTGGCATCCCCTTCACACAGTGTGAGTTCCCTAACCACTGGGCTAAAGGTTATAAGGGAGACCTCCTTCCCCTGCCCATTTTGTGCTGAGTTAGGCATACTCAGAGCACACCTACCAGGCTGGGCCCTGCAGGCAGCACATGTGACTAGACACAGAAACTTAGGTGCCAAGGGAACTTAAATCATGAGTTCAGCACCTACAGGGTTAGGCAGTAGCTGAATCGGGGGTTTGTGGATTGTGGTAGTGCCTAAAACTGGGCTTTAGGTGCCTGGTTCCTTTGTGGATCGAGGCCTTGGTTCTCCAGCTGTACCATAGGGAGAATAGCACTTCCCATCTTCACAAGGTTGTTAGGAGATGAAATTCAATAATTTAAGTGAGTTGCCCAAATACTGTAAGAATAGGGCCATATAAGTACTTAGAAAGAAACAATGAATAAACACAACCCCCTTTCCTCTTCACTCCATCCCAGAAGCTTGAGAGGGGAATACAAATTCAGAGCCATTGCAGTGGGTTAGCTATTTTATTTACATGTGCATTTAAAATGTCACTGTCCAGAAGGTAGGGTACATAGCTGAAGTAAAAGAGAGGAAAAATAAACAATGTTAATGAACACTTGGAGTGGGGGAAGTTTGGGTTACGATTGATTGTCATTATATTCATTATTACTGAACATTGATATTACAGTAGCACCGAGAGGCCTGAGACAGCATGGGGCCTCATTGCACAAAGTGCTGCACAAGCACACAGCAAATGACGAGAGGAAATTTCCCAAAGCATCTAAGAAGCCAGATTGTTGAAGGCATTTAGGCCCCTAAAGATGCAGATAGAAGCCTAATGGGAGTGTCAAAAGCACTTATCTGCATCTGAAGGCACCAAATACCTTGGAAAATGTGACCGGGATTTCCAGTGGATCTTTGGCTCCCAAAGCCAACATGACTTTTGAAAATGGGATTCAGGCTTCTAGATCACTAAGGGCTGGTCCACACTAACCTCCCAGTTCGAACTAAGATACGCAACTTCAGCTACGTGAATAATGTAGCTGAAGTCGAAGTACCTTAGTTCGAACTTAAAGGTACTTATCAAAGGTACACACACGGCAGGCAGGCTCCCCCGTCGACTCCGCCTACTCCTCTCGCGGAGCAGGAGTACCTGTGTTGACAGCGAGCACTTCCGGAATCAATCCGGGATCGATTTATCTCATCTAGACAAGACGCAATAAATCGATCCCAGAAGATCGATTGCTTACCGCCGAACCCAGAAGTAAGTATAGACGTACCCTTAGAGGCTTTGGAAACTTTTACCCTAAAGGACAAAACATACTTACCATTGGTGATGACATGATATTTACACCCCCACCTTCCTACACATTTAATTAGGTCCTGGGGAAACTTGGGAGAAGAGGTGGTTTCTGAGAGGTTCTCTCCTACAAAGTGGTCTGCAGATAGAAAATGGCTGAGAGTCACTGACTAAGAGGAGGTACATATTGTGCAGTTTATTTTAGTCAAAGGAGTATCAGGGCTGGAAAGAACACCTCGTTCTGCTAGTTCCAGTCATTCAGTCTTGTTTTGCTGCATATGACCACTGCCTTCTGTGCCTTGAATAAGGTCCTTATAAGTGGTGGGGCAGTATGTTTTGTACAGATTTTCCACTAATGTGTTACTTCCTGCGATCACAGGCTTGTGTTCCTTGTTCATGAAGTTCCACAGGTGCAAAGCATAGGAGTCGTTGAAGTCAAGGCTTGTATCCCAGACCTCATAGTACTGCCTCCATGCTGGGTAAGGGATAGGGTAGAAACGCTGAGGATGTAAGAAGGAAATGTTCTGACAGCTTTGATCCTCCACATTATGGAAATTGGTCAGGTTGCACAAGGCTCGCAGCCTTCTCGTCATTAAGATGGGTCCTTGGTTTCCCCAAATGCGTCCATTGTAGTTTTGAACAAAATCATTCATGCAATCCCAAATGAACCAGTGATGGTGAGGAAAGCCAAAAACCCCATTGCTGGAGAACTGGGAAGCCTGGGCCGCCAGGAAGTTTGCCACTGGAATAGGCCTGATGGAGATGACATCTGTGTCCATATAGATCCCACCGTATTTCCAGATGAGTGCAAGTCTGCTGGCGTCAGAGCTGATATGAACCCAGTGCTTTTCCTGGGCTGCATTTACCTGCATTGTTGGAAAGGGATCACAGAGATGCAATGGACTCCACTTTAAAATTTCTAAACACCTGATCCTATTAGCTATATATTCTATAAAACTCTCAGCAGTGTCTATCCTCACTTTAATCCCTTTAAAAATTAATGGCCATTTTTCTTTTCTACCTATGAAACTTTGCTGGAAAAAGGCAAGAGCAGATGTAGGCTTTGTTCAATGTGATTCTACAAGTGTTTCCAAGGTGCAGTAAACTCCAAAGAAACATGCAATATTTATGAAATAATGAGAATATGAATCATTAACCGTTATTTCCACAAAACAACCCTGCATCTCAATTTACACGCTCACTGTCTGATACAAAGCCCAGGGGAATCAATTGAAAGATTCTCATTGATTTCAGTGGGCTTTGGAACTGGCCCCTCCTGGCAATCTCTAAAGAGGATAAAAATTGAGAGAGAAGTTCAGGCCTTGGGTTAGGGTGACCAGACAGCAAGTGTGAAAAATCGGGACAGAGGGTGGGGGGTAATAGGAGCCTATATAAGAAAAAGCCCCAAATATCAGGACTGTCCCTATAAAATCGGGACATCTGGTCACCCTACCTTGGGTTATGCTGGTGCATGGAGAGCTGGAGTACCAGTATAGCAGCCAGCTCCCTGTTTATTCTCCAGACTCTCCACTTTCATTTAAAAATAAATAAAATAAAAAAGTCCTTAGCTGTAATGGTTGCCAGTAGACCCATGAACACATGAAACAAGTGCAGACTAATGCAGTGATGCCTGCTTGAGTTTTCAGACAGGACTCAAGGGACTCGGAACAAGAACTCAAAGGGGTGTGAACTCCCTGAACAACAGTTCTGAGAGGCGTGGGTGGAGCCTGGAAGAGCATCACTGTCTCCCACCCACCCCCAAAAAATTGACTTCTGAATGACCCTCTCACTTCTAAAGCTTGCCCCTAGACATTTTCATTGCTATCAGTCTGGCACTTTTAACAAGCACTGAAATCATTTTCCCAAATAGTAAATGCTCACCTTAAATTCATGTTGACTAAATTTTTTCAAATACAACTTCTTTATAAAAAATGGCCTTTTTAAAAAAGATGGTGATTAACCATTTTGATAAAATATGGTTATCAAAATTATTACTGACATTTTCCATTTGCCATAAATCCTGTCATCAGGAAATGGAAAATGTCCATAACAATTTCAATAAATATTTTGACTAATGCATGGTGAACTGTCATGAACCAGGGATCCATACTGAGTGAAACAAAATGACAAGAGCTTCAAAACTTCAATAAAATGTGCAAAAATGTTCTTTTCATTTTCCACAACCTCTACTTTAAATCTTGTTCAAAAACACTTTTCCCTTAATATTTCCTCTCACCTTATGATACCATGGGAGCAGAGGTGTCTCCTGGAATAAGGTGTCCATCTGTAAAGGAAAAATGAAGACATTCTTCATAGCAGATAAAAGTGAGAAGGCTGCGTAAGTGGAATTTGAATCCAGCCATGTGCTATTGTTCAGCCCTTTCATGAAGAAAACAACAGGTCTGTCATGGTAGATCCTGGCAGCAGATTCCACAGAACATGAAACCAGCGGAGGAGGCTCAAGGCGATCTGTGGTCTCCACAAAGATGATGCTTCTGCTCTGGCTCATAACATCTTCTTGCGTCAGGAATCGCTTAGCAATAGGCATGCAAGAGAAGACACAGCCAGACTGCAGGGAGAGTTCATACAAAATGGCAAAGACAAAGACAAAAAAAAAACAGAGCACTATTTGGATCTCCTTCAACATTCTTGCTTTTCCTTAAAAATAAACAAAGTCAATGTTAGTGCTTCATTGTTTATCCCTGGGAGAAAAATGTGACAGGATGATACAAAATTAATCAAGATAGTTAAGTCCAAAGCTGACTGTGAAGAGTTACAAAGGGATCTCACAGAACTGGGTGACTGGGCAACAAAATGGCAGATGAAATTCAATGTTGATAAATGTAAAGTAATACACACTGGAAAACATAATCCCAATTATACATACAAAATGATGGGGTCTAAATTAGCTGTTACCACTCAAGAAAGAGATCTTGGAGTCATTGTGCATAGTTCCATGAAAACATCCACTCAATATGCAGCAGCAGTCATAAAGGCTAACACAATGTTAGGAACCAATAAGAAAGGGATAGATAATAAAACAGAAAATATCATAATGATGCTATATAAATCTATGATATGCCCACACCTTAAATACAGCATGCAATTCTGTTTGCCCCATCTAAAAATGATATTTTAGAATTGGGAAAAGTACAGAGAAGGACAATAAAAGTGATTAGGGGTATGGAACAGCTATCAAATGAGAGATTAAAAAAACAGGGATTGTTCATTTTAGAAATGAGATTATTAAGGGAGGATATGATAGAGGTCTATAAAATTATGAACGATGTAGAGAAAGTGAATAAGGAAGAGTTATTTTCCCCTCACACAATACAAGAATCAAGGGTCACCCAATGAAATTAATAGGCAGCAGGTTTAAAACAAACAAAAGGAAGCACTTTTTCACACAACACACAGTCAACCTGTAGAACTCATTGCCAGAGGACATTGTGAAGGCCAAAAGTATAACTGGGTTCAAAAAAGAATTATATAAATTCATGCAGGATACGTCCCCCAATGACTATTAGCCAAGATTGTGAAGAACGTAACCCCATGCTCCGGGTGTATCTAAAACTCTGACTGCCAGAAGTTGGGAGTGGACTCAATAATTGCCCTATTTTGTTAATCCCCTTTGAAGAATCTGGCACCACAGACTGTCAGAAGACAGGCTACTGGGCTACATATGGCCATTCTTACATTCTTAAGCTACACCAAAACTCTACTGTGAGGTTCCTGGATACTCTGGCATGTTGGTGGAAATTCAGCCTCCCCTGGATTGTTTATTTGGATGTTAAATTTACTTTGCTCTACGTTGTTCCCACCTATTCAATTTTCAGTAAGCCACTGACTGCTGTAACAGCATCAGAGAAATTGTTCAGGGGAAGCTGGAGGGTTTGGCAGTGATTACACTGTAGCAAGAGATAGTTCTGGAGGAAAAAAAGGCAGGACTTGGTTGCAGCCTCAATGTGAAGGCAGAAGGAGAAGGAGTCAAATATATTTATATGTATGTGCATGCACACTGTGTTTATGTTGGTGCATGGATGCGTGTGTGTGATTTGGAATCTCAGGGTCACATACAAACTTTCCATTGATTTTTTTTCTTTCCTTTCTAAATCTTCATTCCCACTTAGCTAATAATTCATCCCAAGGGGCTGATGTTGGAGGAGCTCGACCCTCCAGTTCCGTTGTGAAAGACGGTGCCTAGCCTGCCAATGCCTAATTTGTTTGGGGGTTCAGGGAATGTGAGGGGGAGTGCGTACAGCTGACTCAGCGATCAACCAGCCTCAACTTTTCAAACAGACCATAGTGCACTGTAGACCGCTGCACCTCCAGCAGCCTGTACTTGTCACGTAAATACAATTTGCCAGTGAGACCTAGAGAACAATGAACCAAAGTGTGAAAAGGACATGAGAAATAATAAATAGAGGTAGGTATGTTGACCTATACAAATATACCAAATACAAACTCTCTCTGTGTGTGTCTCTCTCACACATTCCCCTTCTGTAATATTTCTAGTTCTTGTAAAATGCATAAATTAAAATCTGATGTCTCAATTCTTTCTGAGGACGCCAACAAAAGTGTGGTTGCAATAAATTTCAAAATACTCCAGAAGGCAAATTGTGGAAACAGAATAAGCCGACATGCCAACAGATATCAGTTCTGTGTGTGACGACGTGAAGAAAAAAAATGAATCTTTGTTGTCTTATTCCGAAGAATTGTTTTCCGTGGTTAGTGTTCCAAAGCCACTAGGCGGTGAGTTATGTATTCAATTCACATTTGACCTGGAGGCAACTGTTATCAAAATGTTCACTTCTCTTCTCAAGTTAAGAAGGCTGCAGAACCAAGCATTAAAAATACATGCCAGACATTAAATAGATTACCCTGTGAAGTGGTTTCTTTTTCTTGTGCATCAGACAAGATGCTGACTTGCAGGCCCTCCTTGACAAGATATTTCTTTTCTCTTGGTTGTTTCAATATTTCAAACACAATAGGGAAAAGGGGATGAGGCTGTGAGAAAGAGTAGCAAGAATGCCAACCTGTTACAGCCCTGGTGCAATAATTACCTCAACTCAGTCTGTGAAATACTTGTTAAAGAAAGGTACAATCTAATCGCCAGTAAATAATACCACTTTGTGTAGACAACTTCCACAAGTGGAGGGGCAAGTCAGTTGGCCCACTCATTACATCTAACATTTGCCATCTTACCAACATTTGTGACAATTATACTTCTGCAATGTCTTGGAAGTGTCATGGATCATGAGATGCTATGGGAAGCTCTCCCATTAACAGGCCAATGACAACCTTTCTCATCAGACAAAGGCAGTGTTTGAGGGGACCCTGGAACCTGAGTGAAAACATTTCACTCAGACTCTGGCTAGGTATTACAGAGGTGATGCTGGTAGGAAGAGGGAAGAAGTTTGAGGAACTGTGAGGAACTACAACCTCACTTTCTATTTGGAGCACTGATTCCTTATAGACAAAGGTTGCAAGGTCATCTTGGGGTTCTTTTGGTGACTTCACTGGTCCTAGTAAGAATGTTGTTTTCTGTCTTTGTCCAGCCAGCAGTTTACCCCCTTTTTTCTTAGATGCAAAATGAGCCATGGTGATGCACATCATCTTTACCTCCAGGCTAAACCAGTACACCAGGCCACCCCTGCACTGGCTGTGAAGGGACGGTATATAGCAGGGTTCGGCAACCTTTCAGAAGTGGTGTGCTGAGTCTTCATTTATTCACTCTAATTTAAGGTTCCGTGTGCCAGTAATACATTTTAACGTTTTTAGAAGGTCTCTTTCTATACGTCTATAATATATAACTAAACTATTGTTGTATGTAAAGTAAATAAGGTTTTTAAAATGTTTAAGAAGTTTCATTTAAAATTAAATTAAAATGCAGAGCCCCCCAGACCGGTGGCCAGGCCTTGGGCAGTGTGAGTGCCACTGAAAATCAGCTCGTGTGCCGCCTTTGGCACGCGTGCTATAGGTTGCCTATTCCTGGTATATAGTGTCTGTATTGTTTGCATTTCAGTGTTTGGGGCATTCTTAGGCCTGGTCTACACCGATTTTGTACTGGAATAACTCTGTCCGTCATGGGTGTAATTTTATACTAAACTAGTAATCCAGGTACAACGCTTAGTGTGGACGTAGTTATAAAGGTGCCTTGGTCACCTTCCTTTATGGATATTAACGCTACCAGTATAAGCCCCTTTATACCAATTTAGCTATATCCACACTGGGGTGGGGAGAAGGGGCACCGCTTTAACTCAGCTGGTATAGTTAGAAAATACCAGTTGATCCATCTCTTTTGCTTTTATTTTACCTTCTTCATCTGGCGCCACTCCCCTTTTCCTGGTTTACCTTTCCAATCACAGGCACCATCACTGAGTCTCCGTTCTTACATTGTCTTCAGAATGTGACTCCTCTTTTCCTTCTTCGTCCAGCCAACCCTTTAGGTCTGTTTCTCTCACACCCTGAAGTGTCCCCTCTACCTCCTCCCCTGCATTTGCTGCTTCTCCTTTCTTCCTGTTTTCTCCTCAGATTCTGACCCCAGCTGGGACAGGGCCCTCTCAGCAGCACTCTGGACACAGACATTGCTGCAGGCTGAAGAAGCTGCAAGCCCAGCAGGAGGTAATTATACACTTTCTGTCAGGGGATTGTGAGCACCTGGGTGGTGCTAATGGGGTAACTGGGAGGATACAAATGGAAGGAAGGGGAAGCTGAGAGGGGGATCCTGGCCTGAGAAGTGACGGTGGCATGGAAGCGTCCCCTTGCTGCAAGCCTGCATTATACTGTTACTTTATAAGAAGAGAATCACTACACACCTTGATGACAGATAACAACCCGGGCTGGGGAGTGTTTGTGGCCATGAGGCCACACAAATTGGCCAGGCAGCTGAGTACATGGGGTAATGGTGAAGACACCCTGTGACACCAGCTCAATAGCATAGTTGTCTTTTCTAACATATCCAGTCATTCCCTCTCTCTCTGTCCCACTCTCTGACTCACACTCCGCCATGCACACCCTCCACTCCCACATCAGGCTTGGAGAGTTGACCAGATGCCTACTAGCCACGGGACTCACCCTACTAACCAAAGAACGCTGTGGAAGGTGAAAGGGCCCCAACTGTCCTGAGTAATCTTCCTGGTGAGCAGCTGCTGAGGAAATGGGGAGGGTGCTGTGTAGTACTGGGGTGCTATCTCTAGAACCTGCTCTGAATCTCTGCTTTTCTTCATTGGGGCCAGGAAGCTCTGTGACTCTCTTCTCAAGGAATTGCCACTGAATTCTGCTTTGGGGCAGATTTTTTGCTACCTCTGTGGAAGAGACCAGGGACCTGGCCCATATGTCCTGAAGGCTCCCCGAGTTCCATGCAGATCTCAGGGATCTCTCAGTGGCAAGGGGCCATTGCGTTCCTGCATCTTTTTGGGATGCCATCTGTGACTCCACTCCAGGTCTTTGTCAGTGCTGCCAATGACTCCCCCAGTCAGCGCCTATCCCTAGAACCCTGCTGCGAAGGGGTTCCCCAACACAAGGGGATCAGCATGCAAGTTAATACAGCTGGATGTGGGGGGACATGCATCTCACAGCTCCATCCTTTCTGCCCCATTGCTGCCTCATCCCCAATCACAGATCCCCAGAGCCATGGCGAGCCCTCCA